CGAGCTGCTCGGCCGGCGACGCCGTCGCGGTTCCAACCGAGCGGGCAGGCCGCTCGTCGCGGCGCCGCCGACGGGGCCGAGGGCGCGCCCCGCGAGGGCGGATGCAAGAAGGCCAAAGTCGGGCAGTCGACGGGCGGCAGCGGCAAACAGGACGAGCTGCTCAACAACGCAGGTCGCTTGCTCCTCGCCGCGACGAGGCTGCAGGTGGACGCGGCGTCAGCAGCGTTCGAGACTCGCGACGCGAGCGCGTCGCAGGGCTTCCTTGCGGCAGTGATCGGAGCGGGCGCGAAGTGCGACGCGGCGAGCAAGGACTGGCCCGAGCGGCGCAAGGCTGGCGGCGAGCCCCCCCTGTTGCACCCAGGTGCCCGCCGCAGGCGCGCGCTACATGGCGACGGGGGCGCGCGCGGAGAGCCCGTCACTGGACTGCGAGAAGCCGCTGCGAAGCGACGCGGAGGAGTGCTGGGCGAGCACGGCGGGCGCGAGCGAGATGAAGCAGATCGGAGCTGCCATCGAGTACTTGCGCGCGAAGATGTTGAAGAACAGCGATGCCAACCAGCGCCTCCTGATCAGATTCTGTTTCGACGCGGGGATGGCGATCGGGGCCCAGGCAGCGACTCTCTGCAAGCGCGCGACCGAGGTGGAGGGAGGGACCCGCCTGCGCGGGTGCGCGCCCAGGGGGCCATTGGAAAGAGAGAAAGTGAGAGAGAGAGAGAGAGAGACAGGGATCGTCTGCAGTGAACACAATGTAATTTGGAAATCGTCGGAGCGGCGCGCTTCCTTAGTAGCTCGAGGAATGCTTTCAGAGGAGATCGCGAGGGGAGCTCCGACCGGGGAACTCAGCGTGCCCTCGCACGTGCAAGCAGACGTGACAAACGTACTGATAGTAGCTCCGCCGCGTAGGGGCGCTGGCCTCGGGGAGGGGGAGGGCGGGGGGTCGCGGTCGATGGTGGGGGGGCGCCGGGAGCGGGTGCGAGCCAACAGTGAACGCATTGAGGTTCATATGTGCTGTACCACGCGGATTCCAGCCGGCCCTCAGGGGGGGTCGCGCGCCTCGGAGGCGCCGGCGGGCCATTGCCCCGCCAGGAGGGCGCAGGACGCAACGTTTATCATGTCGACTCCTCGAGGGCCGACGTTGCCCACTCCCAGAGTCCAATGCGATGCGGCTCGTCAGCTGACTCAGGTGGGTTACATGGGCTCGTCTCGTCTCGCTTCTCCTCCTGATCCTCGTCCTCCTCCTCCTCCTCCTCCTCCTCCTCCTCCTCCTCCTCATCGTCCCCCTCCTCCTCCTCCTCCTCCTCCTCCTCCTCCTCTCCCCCCCTCCTCCTCCTCCTCCTCCTCCTCCTCCTCCTCCTCCTCCTCCTCCTCCTCCTCCTCCTTCTCCTCCTCCTCCTCCTCCTCCCCCTCCCCCTCATCCTCCTCATCCTCGTCCTCGTCCTCCTCCTCATCCTCCCTCCCCACTTGGCCCCTCCTCCTCTTCCTCTCTGAAAGGAGCTGCTGCGCGGCGCAGCCTTTCGGCGCTCCGCGCGGACGTGTTGGATCGGTGTCCGATGCGTCTCCCCTCCCCTCGTGCGGCGTCGGAAACGCCGTCGGGGGGCTTCGCGGCCCCGATCCCGGAAATCCGGTCGGAGCTCTGGCAGTTTACGTCTGTGCCGTGATTTTTTGCTCGGTCCTCCCACTCTTTTCCTTCCCCCCCCACCTTTGATCACCCTATTTTCCTCCTCCGCCTCCTCCCCCTCCCCCATGTCCTCCTCGTGCCCCCCCGTCGCCAGTTTGGTTTTCAGGTGAGCCAAGTGGACGCCGCTGATCCGCGGCAGTCAGAACTTCTGCGATGTTCGGCATCTGTTTCTCAGCCCCCACAGCGGGGGTTCGGGCGCCCTTTCCCGTTTTTTTTGAATTTGTGTGTGTTTCTGCGCTGCTGGGGCAGCATTCCACCGTGGCGGCAGGCAGGGGATGTTCTTGCGTCCACCGGTCGTGCGCAGGGTGTCCAGGCCCCCCTCCTCTATCGGAGCCACGAGGTCTGCTACAAGTGCCAGTTTCCAGAAACCTTCAGAAGGGTCTCACTTCCAGGGTAAGGCGAAGGCTGGAGTTCACTGCGTTCAGAGGAACCGCTACGCCAGATTCAAGAAGAAGCCTCGGGCACAGTATTCAGATTCCGATGACAAGTCCCAGCCGCCACCATTCCAGAACGATCAAGTCGCTGGAGTCCATGATCCCGTCCAGCTTTTGCACAACAGGGTAGGCGTGGGCGGCGAAACGTATGCCCCGGCCGACATCCATTTCAAGCACGCGAAGGCCAACGCACTCCAGGACAAGCCCTTGGGTCGCAGTCCCTCCGCGACCAAGTCGCGAAGTATAGAATTGCATCAACGAGCCGGCGGAGCAGATCGACGAGCACGTGGCCAGCATCACTGACTTGGCCGATAAGGTCCCCCAGCTCCAGGCGGAGAAGGGCGAGGCCACCATCGAGTTGCAGCAGCTCGGAGCCCAGCTCTCGGTCGCCGTCCGTTCGGCTCTGTGTCTTTCGCCCCAGACCAATAGCTATTTGTTACCGCCGATTTCGAGCTTCAAGCTCCTGCGGCTGGGGCCAGTAGGTGGGGGCCCTCAACACAGCCAGCAGGAGGTCCAGCCTCTCGAGCAGGCCGTGCAGGCGGCCGCCGCTCTTCCAAGTCCACCCGCTCCAGCTTCGAGAGCACAACTTGGCCTTGAAGAGCCTCCAGCTCACCGCTCGCAAGGAGAGTCATCGCAGGCTGCCGACACCAAGCTGGAGGTGTCCGACGCCATTGCGGCGGCCGCAGTCGACGCGCCGGTGGGCGACAGCAGAAACCAGACCACTTCCGAGAAACGCAGCTCAATTGTTTCAGCCCACGCCTTCGAGCAAGCATGCCTGGCGGTCGCAGGCAAGGGAGGCGCAGGGACCAAGGTGGCCACAGAGCTGCGCGCGCTGGCCAGCAAGTGTCAGCAGCCGGGGTAACAGTGCAAGACAAATGGAGATCGTCATCATCAGCGGCAGCTGCCAGGACGCTGTCAGATTGTACGGCTCTACTTTATTTCCCGAAAGTGGTTTAGCAATGTGTTGTTCAGGGGCTTGCGCAGCAAGAGACCGCGCAACCGAGGTCATGCACTGGTGCCAGAAAGCAGGCGGGCACATCATTACCAGCGCTGCCCTCAGCGACCTCGGGAAGCCGATGGCAGCGTGCGACGCTTCGGTCCGCGACGGCTACGATCTCGAAGTTTGCCGTTTCCCATTTCCCGCCCCAGCCCCAGCGAGTTGCGCATCCGCGGCCATTATCGAGTTTCCTTGACACGCATCGTTCGTTGCCACGTCGGCCTGTTTTGAAGTTTCAGCCGCTCTCAGCAAGACCAGCCCCGCGATGCCGGCCAGACTCGGGCGGAGCACAAAGCCACCATTTCTCGCCGGTTTCCGTGGCCGCCAGTTTCAACGTGCCGCCGTCAGCCATTCAGACGGGCTCGGCCTGGGGCCCGCCAAGTTCTGGCCCTTGGGCCCCGACGCGAGTCCTGAAAACGGCCCGAGCGGGTAAAGTGCACGCCGACGGGTCTTGTCTCAAGCCAACCGCCAAAGGCCACCTTACAGCCGGATGTGCCGTCGTGGAGACTCCGTAAAGCCTATGCGGGGTCATCGCCGTCCTCGAAGGGCAGGTCGGCAGGGGCCTCGCCTGATCTTTTCCTTCCTCCGAACACATTGCGGTGCTTGCTGCACCTCATTCCGCATTTCCGAAACCGAGAGCGATTGCCAAGGACGGACAAATCTGCACGCCACAGGCTTGTCCCGCAAGAACTGATGTGCGTGCGTAGGCCTTCTTGCCAGATCTGCCATAGGGTGGCGGCCCGATCTGGTTCTCGCCGGAGTACCGCAAGAAGGCCCCAAAAGCCTCCTCCAGGGCAGCCCCGAGTGGGAAGCCACCGTGGGACATTCGCGGGCGGACAGGCTTGCTGGAATGGCCCCCAGGGCCGTCAACCGACCTTTAGACGCGGAGCCCGACAGTTTTAGTTCGCAGCGTACGTTCCCCAAGAACTGTCTCAAGAATGCAGGTCGCGCTTCACATTAACAAGGCTAGCGCCGCGCTGACGCATTCTCTCTCGCCGCCGATGGGGGCTGTTTCTGTGCAGCAGATTTGGCATCCCTCCTCGTCGGGTTCTCCGCCGCCCCGCCCCCTCCAGCGGCTCTCCGACCCCCGAAGCGGGAGCACAGGTGGGAGCCCTCGGGTGCGATATTTGTTAGCGTGAATGGCCGACAGAGAGAAGCGACGCAGCGGCCAGAGAATTGTGATTGGTTTGCCCTGAGTCGTGCAGCGATGGCTTCTTGCCCCAATACCATCGTTTTTTTACATTTGAACTCTTGCTTTCAAGGCTCATCGTGTGTCACTGATTTCAGCAAAAGCGGTCGCTTTGTTGAATCAGGTCCCAGGGAATTCACCAAACAGAGCCCAAGAGCTTTGCTCTGGCCAGGAGACAGAACCCAATGGACCTTCCTTATCAGCAGGAGGCACCTCGAAGGCAGCCGCAGGTCTCCTGTCCTGTACGAGCGCCCGATGGCCATCCCCACTCCCCACCCGCCACCCCCCCAGGCTACGAGGGCGGGGCAGGGAACTGCAGACAGACACGCACCCAAACCACGCGACGGTCCTTCTCGTGGCCACCCCTCCTCTTCCGCGTGGCCCCTCCTCATCCTCCGTTTTGCCCTTCCTTTTTTGTCCTCCTCCCCCTTTACCTGGGACGAGACCGTTTCTTTGGGTGTCTGGGTTGTGGATAGGGCCCGCGCGAGGGCCCTCCGTGCCTCAGATGACCCATTCCTACTTTTCCGTTGTCCTGTGCGCTCCACTCAGCTAGCACCTTTCGTTGTCCTGCGCTTGTCCATTCAATTCGCACTTTTCGTTGTCCTGTGCGTCTGAGGCCCGGGGCCCAGGAGGCCACCCGAATGCACTGGGCTCCGCTGGGCCGGCCGGCGCCTTCTGCCCCCCGCCCTCGACGCGCTCGCGGAGCAGATGGTGCGGCTGCTCGGCGCCGGGTCGCGCCGCAGGCTCCGGGCGCCCGCGGAGGATGGAGGATCCAGGACGGAGGGTGCGGGTTCGGGGATCCAGGGCCCGGGGTGCGGGGATCGAGGGTCGAGGATCGAGGGTCGAGGACCGATGGTGGGAGGTACAGGGGGGGGAAGCATCGACCTCGAGTGGCTGACGCATCGACGATGTGTCGTTGATGTCAAGGCGATGCATCGGCGATGTAGACACGAAGCATGGGCCGGTCTGCAGCGCCAGTGCATCGGCGAAGCATGGGCGATGTTTCAGCCATTCCAGGTCGACGTATCCCCCCATGTGCCTATCCACATAATGCCTGTCTCTGGATCCAGGAACCATGATCCAGAACCCAGGGTCGAGGATCGATGTTTGACAATCAAGGTTCGAAGATGGAGGATCGAGGATCGACGTTGGAGGACCGAGGACTGAGGATCCAGGTTCGAGGATCGAGTTTCGATGATCGAGATTGGGCACAGTGCCCAACAGCAGTGCTCGTCTTGAACAGGAGTTTCTGTCACTCGTGGCCGCATCGGACTACAAATCTTGTCATTGTGATCGCAAACCCTGTCAAGGCGACAGCTCTTCTTGTCCGAATGGTCAAGAAATGCCATCAACATGATGATAATGGTTGTCTGAGGGGATTCCAGGGACAGCTACTCTCGCTACACATGGCACGCACTATTCTTGGGCATCGTACGTTCCCGTACTTCCCGTCCCCAGTCTGGGCGCGCAGAGAGGAACATGATCGAGCTTCGAGGATCGAGGATCGAGGCTCGAGATAAGAGGATCGAGTTCGAGGTTCGAGGTTCGAGTCGTGCCATTTCCTCCGCCGGCGAGGCGGCAGGGCCGCCTCGCTCCATCAGAGGAATGGGAACGACTGAGGGGGCAACAGCAGCCATGCATGAAGCAGGTCCTGAGGGAAATGGGTGCTCTGATGTTTCAACCGTTTCCATGCTCTCTGGTCGTCCTGGGGAGCCCTCGTCGCTACGGTTGGCTTCTCTCTGCAATTCTGGCCAGAATTGACCCCAGGAGAGGTTTGGGGAGTGGTGTCGATGCTTGTTTTGTTCCCGCCCGTGCAATCAATCGACACCCACTCGCGTAGGGAGTGTTGTGTTCTTTTTGTAATGTGTGGCCTCTGGGGGCCCTCGCAGTGCCCTGGGAGCGTGGAACAATGATTCGGCATGGGAAGCCGGTCTTGGGGAACGGGTCGATACCTCTCGGGGTCGACGTTGTGAACAAACATATGACGTTTGGGGTCTGTGGGGAGACGAGCCCTGACGTGTTTCAATTTCGGCGGCGAGCGAGGGGGGGAAGCGAGAAGGAGAAGGCCTTCTCAGAAGGCTCGGAAGTCCCTAGGCCTTCTGAGAAATTGTCTAACCATTCCCTGGAACCATGGACAAACTTTTCAGAAGGCGCGAGGGCTCGGAGAAATCCCGACACCTTCTGAGAAAGCCTTCTCTTTCTCATTTCCCCCCTCGCTAGCCGCCGACAATGTTTGGCATCCCGGGACCTCCCACGGTCCATGGGGTTGTCAGAGAACGATGCGGGACGAAGAGTTTGTCTTTGGGGCAGGCCCCGGGGGTGCAGGAGAGGTTTCCTTCGGGAACCGCTCGCAATCAAGCAAACGGTGGCGGTGGACCATATCCGCGGTGATTGAGTATCGATCTACCATATCCGCGCGTGATTGTTCAAGATGTGCAAGGTTGTCTGCCACCAAGAAGCGAGTCAAGCAGAGGCGCGGCGCCCTGGATTGCCGACAGGCCCACCAGAGAAGTTTCCAAGAACTGTTCGCGTACGGTCGGACCAAGGTATCAGATCGACGTCGGTTCCGGGAGGGTGCTTTCATGTTCTTCTTGTCTGTTGGACGTTCTTGTGCATCCTGGGGAGGGTACCCTTGGATGTTCTGTTTGTTCTGGCCGACGGAGGGTATCATGTTCCTGAGGGATATTTTCTGGCCTAGGTCCGACTGTGTTGCGCGACGAGTTATCCTAGACGCTTCGCGTAACCCCACCAGCCCATTCAGGAACGATGCCCAGACGAGTTGCCCAGATCAAAGATGTGGAAACAGATGCAGTACAATTATGGGCTGGGTAAGGCGTCGTACCCCAAGAGGGGGAGGATGGAGGAGGAATCGTGGCTCTGCAGCCCCCGCCCTGCGTCGGGAGAGGGGGCGCCAGGATCCCATGCCGAGCCTTCCCCTCGTTGCCTTGCTGCGCGAGTGCACTGCGTCTGTAGCGAGAGGAGGCAGGCGGTGGGAGGCTGCGCTCTGCGAGTTCCCTGTCTTTCCCTTTTGTACCCCTCCCCGCCCTCTCCAAAACAAGGCGCTGTTTGAGTGCGAGGGCGGTGCCGAAAGGAGGAAGTGCAGTGGAAACCCATGCCAAGAAACACCCTGATTGCCTCCAGGGTGCCCTGGGCTTCTTGGGTTTCGATGGTCGTGCAATTGAAAGCGTGACGTTCCCACGCCAAGTATGAATGGACGTCCTGAGGTCTCAGGGTTGGATTTCTTGTGGAAGGTTTCTTGTGGTCGGGCTCCTACTGCAGGGTGCTGCCTCGGCCAAGGTCCTCGCTCAAGAGCGGGCCCCCAGCAGCATCGAACCGCGCTGCCACCCATATCCGCAGACGCGGGCTTCGTCTCTGCTGTCGTATTGCCGCCTGGGTGGGGAAGCACACGGTGTGCGGAAGATGTCTCAGGCCAGGCCGGTGAGGGCTCCCGGATGCCGAAGCTGGCGGAAACTTCCTGTCGCGATTGCTTCACCGCGCGAGGGGGTTTGGGCCTGTAGTGGCCACTCAGCAGGCTCGGGCTCGTGGGCGGCCGCGCCAGCAAAAGCCCGCCCCCGCCGCCGACAGGTTCCGGGAGGTGGCGCCCGCGCCAGGGCGCCTCCCCGCGGCCTCCCGCGGTTCCCAGGACTCCGGCGCGGGGTGGCTCTTCCTCGGGCTGTTTTTCAATCCCAGGATTTTTGAGGGTCGGGGACGACGTCGGGGTGGTGTGAGGTATACCTGCTTCTCCGTTTTTTTCGGGAAATATCCCAACATGTGTACACCAGGATCCCGTATACACCAGGATCCGCGTTCCTATGCGAATGTCAATGCGGGGCCGGAAAATACGCCAAAGTATAGAGTTTGGCTCCTCACTTCCGTCTTTCCAGAGTTCCTGCGCCAACGTCGCAGAGCGGATGTCATTCGGAAAACACATGGATGGGCCCAGAGTGTCCTGGAGAATTTTTTCCTGGATTCCGAAGTGAATTTCGTGTGGATTTTTCTGGGTCGGGAATGAAGACTAGACAAAACCCACGTGACATAAATTTAATTTTTCGCTTGCCGCTTCGGGATTCTGCATGGACAGAAGTTCACGCACAAATCCGCTGCAGCACGTCTGCAAGGTCGGTGCAGTGAGCGTTGTTTTTTATAGATAAAAATGTTGGGCCTCCCAGGTGGGGTCGGAGGATCGCTCCGCACCGCCGATGCATCGGCGGTGCGGCTCGATGTGGAGCCTGATGTTCTTCACGCCGGCCTCGCCGACGCGTCGCCGCCGCCGCCGATGCGTCATCGATGCGTCGTCGATGTATCGGTGATTCGGGCCGAACGAAAGGGGCGGTTTGGGAAAGTGGGAGCTACGAAATCTGCTGCATGCAGCTGGTTTCGGCCCCGCCGCCAGGCCCATTTCTCAATGCATGGGCGCCTCCCGGCGCCGGGAGGCGCTGGGAAAATCAGCTACGTGAGCTGATTCTCTACCCTACCCTTTGCTATCCCCCCCCTTTTCGTTCCCCCCGAGTGATGCGTCGGCGATGCGGCGCGATCCTCTGGCCCCATCTACTCGGAACCCATCTAGCCTCTATTTATTCGGCGGGGGTACCCATACCACTACCCTTCCCTCCATTTCGCCTTGTTGAGCTTCCTGTGAGGCCCTCGTCGCCACCGCTGGATTCGCTTCGAAAATCTGGTCAGAACGCACTTTGGGCGAGGCCAGGTGAGTAGCGGTATCGGTTCTCTTCTTGTTTCGCGGTGTGGCGTCTTAAAACCAATAGACGCGGAGGTGTTTCATCGTTTTCGGCCCCTCGGAGCCGTCTCCTGGCCGTGGGACCGCCACAAAAACGAGTCGGGGTGAAACATTGGTCCTGGAGAAGTGGTCTCGAGGTCGGGGGCACGCGTCTCGAAAAAAATCACGACGCCGAATGTCGGGGATTGCGTCGCTACCGGCCCCGGCCGCCCCCCTTTCCCCGACCCCCCGTCACGATTCGTGCTGACATTCGAGTTGGCTCTGGTCATTCCCAGACATTCACACGGCGCTGGCGCGAAACGTGACATTACCAGCCCCCCGTCCCCCAGTAAGGCCTTTTGATGGCCAGGGATGAAAAAAACGCTCTCCAGGCCAGACTTCTTCGCAGGGGCAACGTGGCTCAGGGGGATGCGTCGATCCCAAATCGCCCACACAGCGCCGATCCAAGAGATCCGTGTGGCGCTCTGGAAGCTTATGTTTATGCATCTTTTTGCTCCTCCAATTCTTCGAGTAGGGGGTCGACTACAGTGTTGATTTACCCCAAAATTGATTGCTCCGCCGAATCTGCAGAAAATGCCTAGAATGTTCTGTGGATCATCGGAGCATCCGACGCATTCTCGCATATTCGACGGAGCAATCAATTTAGGGATAAATCAGTTCTGTAGTCTATCCCCCACTCGAATTCTCATCCCCTCGTCGCACGAAAAGTCGCGACGGGAGGTGTTTTTTTGTGGAGTTGTCGGCCTCCCGGGGCCCTCGCACCGGGCCCCAGGGGCCGCCAGAGAACGGCCCGGGGCGCGAAGCTGGCCCCAGGGAGGAGGTCCAGACCTCTGGGGGGGTGGCCTGCTTGCAGTCAGCCCGCACGGTGAGGAGGAGCGGCCTTCCAGGGTGGCCCCCTGCATCCTTCCCTGTCCGTTCCCTTCGGCCCGTCCTTGGCCGCTTCCGCTGGCCGCGCCCCGCTCGCAGAGTGTCGACATGGCCTTCCAAGGCCCCTGCATCCTTCTCGTGCGTCCTTCTTATACGGGCTGGCTGCAGGAAGATAATCACAACGTCGCAGGTTTGGCTCTGCCTGTCGGGCGATTACGACTACACAACAGGCAGGAACCGTCGGAACTTCGCGCGGAGTTCCTGGATCTGCGTTGGGCGTCCCTGGCGCCGCCTCCGGCGCCGCCCCAAGCACGCCAGGGACGGGGGGGGGGCAAGCGCCGATCTGAGAATTCAAGTTATGCTTATGTGGTTGGTGCTTCTCCCACGCACCCCTCCCACCCTTCCGTCATTCTCTCATTCCCCGCCCCTTCCCCCTCGTCGTTTCTCCACCCCCCCTCACTCCCTGTTAGCCTCCTGGCCTTGCTCCTGCTTTCTGTCGTCACGACGTCAGCCCATCTATGTTCGACGCCGGCACTCGCGGTGTATTCCAGCCAGCCCGTACTTCGATCGTAGGCAGGTTGCTAGGATAACATTTCTCCTCTTGGGTGTTCGCTCCTGGGCCCCTTGCTCATCTGTTGTTGTCCCCCCGCCTGCGCTGCTGGTGGCCGCCGCCTCGAAGACTCTCCGTGTGGGCCCTCGAGGAGGCCCACCACGCACGCGGAGCAGGCTCGCGCCACGCTGACGCGGCGGTCACCCCGGCGTTGGCGTTCCAGGCGGAGCGCCGCCAGGGATCCAGAACCGGCCGAACGGCATTGCCGGAGAGCCGCGATCTGTCGAGGTTGAACGCCCAGACCCCCTCCGTCGTGAAGAAAACACGACGGGAGTTCTGCTCGCTATTTTCTGCCTTTGGGGGCCGTTGTTGGGCCTCGGGACCATCAAAAAACGATTCAGGAGGAAAAGCCGGTCCTGGGGAAGGGGTCCAGGCCTCTGCGGGTCGACGTTGTGAAAAAGTCACGACGTCGGGGGTCTAGGCGGTTCATGCGGTGTCAGAAAGCGGCGCGCCAATTGTCGCGCCGCAAATTTGCTGAAGTCTTATTCAGCGCGCTAGCCCGTGAGCGGGCGCCATGACATTTGGTTTGTCTGAATCGGCCCTTTCTGGTGGGGAGATCCTCCAGGCTTTCGGTGGACACCACACCTCCTCCACGCCATGTTTAAGCAATAGCCCGTTTTGGTTCGATCCTCTCAGTCGGTCCCGCCGGACCCTGGGATGCGGTCGTTTTTGTTTTAGAGGATGAAGGAGGGGGCCTGCAACAGGGGGTCTTCAATGGGGGCTGAATCGCCCATGCATGCTCAATGTATCGCTCATGTATCTGATCGGGTGCGATTGGCATCCAATGTTGGCGATCATGGAGGGCCAGTCGATCGTGCCCGCGCGTTGCCCGCGCGGGCAAACACGCCGTCCATCCATTTTCGTTCATGCGTTCGGGCCTTCTTGCATATTGCGCGTGGAGCGGCGAAGTGGAGTGCAAGTGTGTCTTGGTTGTGCGATCGATGATCGCGTAAGTTCCCAAACGATGACTTGTCGAGCCCCAAAATAGATTTGGAATGGGTCCGCGATTCTCCCAACATGTGAATTCACATTTTCCTTTTTTCCAAAATGTGAATTCACATTTTCATGTTCCCAAAATGTGAATTCACATTCTGGCTCCTTCATAAAGACACCTACACAACATTCCAACATATGAATTCACATGTTCCTTTTTTTCCAAAATGTGAATTCACATTTTCCTTTTTCCCAAAATGTGAATTCACATTATGCTTCCCCGACAATGTGAATTCACATTTTGCCCTGGCCTTCAGATCCCCAAAATTGAGGCGCAGCGTTTCGCATGTCAGATTGGCTGAGCAGATTTCGACACTCACCTCACCGCTTTCGTTTATTCCATTTTTTGCGCCGTCAGCGCACGTTGCCTTCGTCGCCTTTCCCGAGCCCCCCGCCCCCCTGCTTCGTCTACCCTCAAGTCTCGCGCGGGGGTGCAGGCGGGGAGCTTCACTTGGTTCCCCCGCCGAACACAGCAATCGAGGATGCATCGCCCATGCGTGGCTTATAAAGACACCATTGCCGGGACCATGCGCCCGACCCCCTTTTCACCCTCCAATTGTCGGTCCCTTGGATTCGGGCCGTCGCTCTTTCCGCTCCCATGCATGCTTCCTGCACCGAGGACTACCAGGGGGGCTGGTACCCCAGTTTGCCCTTTGCGCCTGCTGTCCGGCTCCGTAGCTCCTCCTCGAATCCGCCCCAGACTCGCTCCGCCAGGGTTGGCGCAAGCTAGTAATCGGCGCCTCAGCCAGGTATTTTTTGCGCTCGGCAACCCAGGGGGTGGTCTGCCGCATCATAATGTTTCACTATGTCGTTTACTCGTGAAGAATGTCCATTACTTCATAATGTTCTGTCGCTCGCCGGAAAAGCAGGAAAAATTGACGGTTCACTACACAAGAACAAACTAAATAATCGGAAGTACCCCCTAACGCTTCGCCGAAGAACGTCAGACCGCACTCAACGTTCCCCATGCACTAACGCATTCTCGCGAGTCAAATCGAAAACGGGGGGGACCACAACAGTTTGCCGAAATCGGACGGGGCGACGCCATGCGAACGCAGCCACTGTAGCGCGTTCGGTGGAGCCCCCTGTACGGCCACGCAACGAGTGAGATGTGTGCCAAAATGGGGCGAAGCACCGTGCGAACGCAGCCACTTGTGGGCCACGAGACGAGGGAAAGGTGTGTTGAAACGGGGCGGGACACCATGTGCATCTTGCCATTGGGGCTTTCGGTGGAGATCAATCTGAGGCGGCGAAGCGTGTGAGGCCGAAACGGAGCGGGGCACCATGGTAATCCAGTCTTTCTGGAGTCTTCGGTGGAACTCCCAATGAGCCCACGGACAGTGAGAGGGGTCTCCCAAGCAGGGGCGAGCCACCATGCTAACCCTGCCGTTGGAGCCTTCGGTGGAGCTCACAAGTGGGCTGCGAAACGAGCGAGGGGTGTGCCGACATGGGGCGGGACTCCATGTGGACTGCTCCCCTGGGCCTTGCATGGAGCCTCCTAGATGGTCACGAAACTTCTGAGGGATGCGCCGACATGGGGCGGAATGCAGTGCGAACTTTGCCACTCGGTCCTTCCGTGGAACTCCCTGGATGGCCACGAAACGAGTCTGAGTTTCGCCGAGCTGGGACGTGAACCGTGCGAACATTGCCATGGGGGCTTTCGGTGTAGCTCCCCCGAGGGCCACGAAACGAGTGATGGTTGCGCCAGACTGGAGCGGGTGACCATGCGAACTCTGCCACGGGGGCTTTTGGGTGTAGCTCCCATGGGGGCACGAAAGGAGTGAGGGGTATGCCGCCAGAGCGCCGGATCTTGCAGGATCCTGCATGGCCAGGGCCGCATTGACCGGGGTTTGGGTGCAGCATCCTGCAGGATCCTGCAGGATCCTTCGCATTGATCCGGGCTTGTGTGCAGGATCTTGCAGGATCTTGCAAGGCCTGACTGACCCGGGTCTGGATTGACCTGGGTCAGAAGATCCCCTATGCATCCTCTTGCTGCAGTGCAGGTCTGGGTTTTCGGTAGTCTTCGTCCTTGGCTTGCCCGGCTTGTCGTTACAAGGTGCATGTTGTTATCTCGATTGTGTTCGCTCAGCGCAGCCACCGCCAATGTTTTCTGCACGCGGCCTCGCTGACCATGGCTCGCCTGAAATTTTCGCTGCAGTGACTACACTCGGCCGCTTGAGAAAAAATGTGAGTGACTGCGCACGTGAGTACGAATCCGGTTGTCTAGGCCTTCAAGTGGTCGGGGTCAGAGGATCGGTCCGTATCGCCGATGGATCGACGATGCGGCTCGATGTGGAGCCGGATCTTCTCCACGCGGACGTCGCTGCTGCATCGCCGACGTCGCCGCTGCATCGGCGATGCGGCGCGACGCTCGGAACCCATCTGGGAAGCCTCTAGAGCGTGAGTTTAGGTGTGTGTGTGCCTTTTCTGGCGTGACTTCTCTTGCGGAAGGCAGGGCTCAACGGTGTTGAAATTAATTAACCTCATGCCCGTGAGAATAAACACTAGGGGATAATAAAGTTCGGGGTTCAGGGAGAGATAATAAAAGTAGCCCAGCAGACCTCAGCATAATCTCGAAGTAAGAGATGATCAAGAGGAGACCAAGCCGAGCACGTTTTGAGACATCCTTGGCGTTTAGTTTTCATAGAAATATCCTCAACAATGGCTTATCTCTCATGAAAATTGTTTTTTGTAAGTGCTCGTGTAGGGTAGCTCATGTGCCTCAATTTCCATGGATAATCAACCCCAGAGATAAAAAAGTTCAGGCGAGCGTGGGGACAGAGAGAAATATAAAAGAAGAAGAATACAGTAGAAGAATAATAAGAAAGAAGAAGAAGAGGAGAATAAGAAGAGGACGAAGAAAGGAAAAATCCAAAGTTCCAAATCTATCAATTTTAATTTACAAACGCTTTATGAAAATTGATTTTTTAAAGTGCTCGTGTAGGGTAGCTCATGTGCTTCATTTTCCATGGATAATCAACCCCAGGGATAAAAAAGTTCAGGCGAGCGTGAGGACAGATAGAAATATAAAAGAAGAAGAGGAAAGTAGAAGAATAATAAGAACATTGCTCGTTTCGTTTGAGTCTGCCTCCCAAAATTATTGGTTTCGCTTGACACATCCTGAAAAAGTGTGATCGCTTCGCTTGATGTTGCTATATCAACATCGCTTGATGTTGCTATCTCAACATAGCGTTTCGAGGTGATAATGAAGTTCGGCCTCAGCGCTCGCCGCCCAATTTGAATTTTGTATAGGGCGACGATAATCAACTCTAAACACTGAAGGGGGGGGGTCCCTTTATTATCATCGGCATGCGGTTATGTGTTGGCGATCTCGTGGACCGGTTCAACCTCGATATCGTTGTGTAGCAGATGCGGAACGAAACCAACACAAAAGCGAAAAGAATTGTTTGGGCGAGCCTTGGAACCAGGGAAGCAACAAGTGTTTTTTAACCATTGTTTTGCCGATCGGCGCGGGCCCTCGTACCCTCCTCCCCTTCCCCCCGATGGAGTAGATCTTGGCTGTTTTGGGCACCTGTTTCAAGCAGGTGGACGGCTCCCCATAGGATTCCGCATGGGAGCATTGTTCCAATCAGTCGCACGAAGCAGAGGTTCGGAGCCAGACCCCCCCCCCTCCCCCCCTTCCGCTCAATGTCGAAACGCCGAGTAAGGAAACGTTCACCAATGACATCAATATTACAACATGAAGGTCCGCGCGGACTCTTCGGATCGGCGGTGGACCTCCTCCCTGGCGCGCAGATCGCGCCAGGGGCGGTGCCAGGGGCGCCGCAAGAGGCGCCGCCAGGGGGGCCGGAGGCGCCGCCAGGTTGTCCCAGCGCCAATCCGAGGAGCTTGCGCGGATCTCGAAGTTGTTGTTGTGTTTGTGGCATTTCGTTGTTCCTCTGTGTTTCTTTCTCTGCGGCCGCCCTTCTTCTTCTTCTTCTTCTTATTCTTCTTCTTCTTCTTCTTTTTCTTCTTCTTCTTCTTATTATTATTATTTTTCTTCTTCTTCTTCTTCTTCTTCCCCCCCTCTTGCATGCAGGCTGATTCGCGACGCCGTGTCCCAGTCTCGCTCCGACGCGCGTGCGGATCGCCTCTGCCGCGCTGCGATGGACACTTCCGCGAAGTTTGGGTCGGGCCCTGGCAGGAGGAGCATGATGGCGGGCGTGTGGGAATCAACCAGGGGAGCATTCCGTGACCCCCTGGAAACTCGGGCGAAGCGAACCATGCACATGCACCAGTCCAGGCCAGGCCCATCCTGGGCCCAGGAGCGTTGCAGATGTCTCCTTGGCCAATGCAGAGGGGACGTATGCACCGATCCTGGGCCCAGGATGGGCCTGGCCAGAATCGGTGCATGTGCATAGTTTTAAGTCGGGCCCGTCCCTCTACAGGAGGGATATTCCAAAATTGCCAAGCAAGTGTTTGTATTTTCTGACTAGTTTTGGATGTTTTTGGGGTACGTCTTATTTCTCGTCCCAAAACGCCTGTAGGGGGACACGCCCGACCCACGCATAGCTACCTTTCCTCTAGAAAAGACCCTGCCGCAGGGGTGCGTGCCCTCTTCACTCGCCGAGGCGCAGGCGCAGTGCTGCAGTGCTACAGTGACGGGCGTGGCGCTCCCACGAGGGCGAGGGAGAGAGACGAGGGACAGGAGAGGACGACGAGGGAGGGGAGGAGGGAGAGGACGAAGACGAGGGAAAGGACGAGGGGGGGATGGGGGGGCGAGGGACGAGGGAGGCGAGGGACGAGGACGAGGGAGAGGACGAATACGAGAGAGAGGACGGGGGCACTAGGACGGAGACGAGGGGGAGGCGAGGACGACGGCGAGGGAGAGGAGAGGATGCCCCCCCCCTCTCTGGCAGGAGGGGCGCCGCCCGGGCGGCCACTCGCGCAGGGGCGGGGCCGCCGCCCAGGGCGGGCCCAGCAGCGCGGAGGGCCGGAAAGCTCCCGGCCCAGCTGCTCCGGGCGGAGGACCCAGGCATCGGTCCGCGGCATGCTCGGCCTCCTCCTCCTACTCCTCCTCCTCCTCCTCCTCCTCCCCTTTCTCCTCCTCCTCCTCCTCCTCCTCCTCCTCCTCATCATCATCATCATCATCCTCATCCCCCTTCTCCTCCTCTTCTTCCTCCTCCTCCTCCTCTTTTGCCTCTGCGGGTCGCGCAGCAGGCGCAGACTGGTTCAAACGGGGCCGTGCAAACGGTCGGAATCCTCCGGTCCACGTCCAGAGCGTGCCGGGTGGCGTGCTTCGTTTGAGTCCTCCTCCCCCCCCTCCTCCCCATCCTCCTCCTATTCCTCTTTCCCTCCTCCTCCTTCCCCTCCTCCCCCCCCTCCCCGTGCTCCTCCTTCTCCTCTTCCTCCTCCTTCTTGTCCTTCTCCTCCTCCTGCCCATGGCTGGCTTTCCATCACGGCCCTGGGCCTGCAATGATCTTTTGCACCAGGACTGACTCACAATGCATACCCCGACATCTCCCAGGGCGGGCCCAGCGACGCGGAGGGCCGGAGTGCTCCCAGCCCAGCCGCGCCGGGCGGAGGACCCAGGCATGGGTCGGCGGCGAGCTTTCGGCCCTTCCGCGATCCGTCTGCCGCAGGTGCGTCGCGTGCAGAGATTCTGCATCGAACCCGCCCGCCCGACCACCCAATCATGCGGGTCTTGCTCCGTGGCACGTCGTGAGAGTTCGTGCCAGAGGCTGCGAGTGAAAAGAGCGATTCCAGCGTGTTCGCAAACCTCATCATGGTCACTACAGTGTGGAACCCTGCCATGTGGGGCAATCATCGGGCGGGCGGGTCGAGTCGAGCGGGCGGGCCCTCGCGGGTGGGTCCAGTGGGCGGACCTGGCCGTTTTGAGGTCCTCTTGGAGGCGTCTTGAGCGGTCTTGGGAGCTTCTTGAGGCTTCTTGGAGCGTCGAAAAGCAGAAAATACGAGAAACCCAAACTCCTTCGAAACCCGTCCGTTAAATCGACGATGTTGGCCTCTTGGGACTCTCGCTCTGGAGGCCTCTTGGAGCGCGCGCCGTGGAGCACACTTCGCCTCGGCAATACGGATATGGAGTAAGCTGCGAAGGTGTATGGCCACGTGGACTCGTACATGCAAGAACTGAACAAATTGCAAGGGTTTGTGACCTCGGGGACGCGAATATGGCATAAGTTACAAATGCTTGAGATTTCGGGGACGCGACTGTTCAGCAATTTGCAAGGGTTTGTGGCCTCGGGGACGCGCATATTGTATACTTGTCAAGTGATTCTGGCTTCGGGGTTGCGAATCTTGTTTCATTTGCAAGAGTTTGTTGTCACGGGGGCGCAACAATTCTTTAGTTTGCGAGGGTGAATGGCTTCAGGGACGCGAATACTGTATACATTACAAAGGTTTGTTGCCTCAAGGTTTTGGCTCAAGGCTCAAGCAGAGGTCACAATTGAGCCAAGCTCGCTTCCCCCCCCCCTCGCAGCCGCGGCTGGACGGGCTCCGAAAACTGGTCCCGTGCTTGCGTCGGCGGGTAAACCGAGGATTTTCCGGCTCCTTCCCTCGCGAGCACAGCCATGGCGCAGAACATGAGTGTCGACGACGCCGCGGGGGAGTCAGGCCTCACCCAGGCTACTGGCGCGCTGCAGCTGGCTGGAGCCCCCGCTCCACCAGGACTTGATCCGCCAGCCGCTGTTGGAGCTCTCCCCGCCGGTACGGCGCCCAACCAGCCCCCTGCCACGACCCCAACGCCAGCGGAGCTTCCAGCTGACCCCCTGCAAGAGTTGGTCGAGGAGTCCGTCAGCAAGTACAGCGAGCTCGTCAGCGCGGTGCGCGCCACCACGGCAGGGCCGAACCTGATGATCACCAGCAGCCGAATCGCGTCGTGGACCTCGCTGCACGAGCTGCTGCACTTGGCGTACCTGCCCGAGGCCGCATGCCCATGGCGCCGGCTCGGTTTCGCCCCCCTCGAGGGTCCAGAGCCGACGCTGCCGGACCTGGATGCGCGCTTCCGCACTGCCCGGCTACTATGCTCAGCCTGGCAATCCCCGGCGTGGAGCGCGGCTGACCGCTCGCAGGCGGCAGCTGCGCTGCAGGCGCTCGCCGATGGAGTGCGCCAGTGCACCGACCTCATCCCGGAGATCATGAAGGTGCGCCGCTGGCAGCGCGCGCCCGACCTCACCGTATGGCGGGAGCTGGGCGCCTCTGCGCTGGGGTTCCCCTGCGCCACGGCGCCGACGGCAGCGGAGCTGGTGCTCACGCAGTGGTCCACGCTCAAGCTTTCCACCGAGGCCGCGGCAGCCGCGCACCCAGTCACGCCTGCGGTCGACGCGTGTCGCCGCGCGGCTGCGTTGGCTGCCAAGGGGGACGATCGCTTCTGGCCAGAGCTGGGTGGTCGTCCGGCGATCCTTTGGGCGCCTGCGGACTCCTCCGCCCTCGGTAGGCTGCTCGAGTCATACATGAAGCGCCCAGTCGCCAACGGTGGCCCGCCGTACCTCCGACTGTTGGTCCCACTGGAACTTTTTCCAGGGTATCACGCGGTCGCAGCGATCCAGGACTTGTGGTGGCACCTTTTCCTTGGCGAGCGGTGGGTTGGAGCTGTGAAGGAGCTGGAGTGAAGGGTTTGTGGCCTCGGGGGCGCGAGCGCGGTGCAATTTGCGAGGGGTCGTGGCCTCGGGGACGCGAACACAGCGTAATTTACGAAGGCCTATTTCGCTGGTCGTCCTCGTCATCGACTCCGCGTTCTCCTCGCCTTCCTTTGCTTCTTCGCCCAATATGCCCACTAGAGTATAGCGGCGCTTCTCGTTCTTGTCCGAGCAGGCACAGCGTAATTTACGAAGGAATATTTCGCCGGGGGCCCGAATATCATGTATTTTTACGTGTCCCACGGCCCCGCAGGAATTCAGACTGAGCGATGCTGGGATGGTAACCGAACGTTTTTCGGCCCCTCCCTCGAGCGGACTTCAACAATTCACAGTGGGGACCAGACAGCAGGATTGTAGCATCGGATGCGGGGAACTGCAATTTGGTGCAGGGTAATTACTGCAAGCCCGATCCTCGCAACCTGATGGCCCAACAAGGGGGCCCGCGGATACTGAACAAACCTCATTTTTCCGAAATGCTTGTTTCCATCCTGTTACCCGCAGTCCGTCATGGTCTGAGTGCGTTGTTGCGTCGTCACCTTTCCTTATTTGTTCAGGAGGGGCGGGAACCAACAATATTAAAGGAAAGCGGAGGACCTCAATACCTCCATTGGCACGGGGCCCAAACGGAACTCTATTAAAGTTCATGGATAGGCCTCAAGGCATTCTGAAGAGGGCCGGGAAGGGCTCCAAACAGATCCAAGCAAGAGCATCGATGTAGAACAGATAGCAGAACAATGCACTATCTGAGGTCGGGTCCAAGCAATCCGCCCGGACCTACGAATGCTTATGCTAATGCAGGGTTTTCGTTTTTTGCGCCTCGAGGGCGGGGAGGAGGAGGAGGAGGAGGAGGAGGAGGAGGAGGAGGAGGAGGAAGATGAGGAGAAGGGGGAGGACGAGGAGGAGGAGGAAGACGAGGAGGAGGAGAACGAGGAGGAGGAGGAGGAGGACGAGGAGGAGTGGCCTACTTCCATGGTTCTGGCAGCAGCGCGCGCCCTTGCGATGCTCAGCCGCGCCACTCTGCACCGCCGGCGGCTGGCCTGGCCTGTACGGTAGCACCGCGAGGGCGTGCGAGAGCGGCGACTCCTGTGCGAGGGTGCTTCGCCCGAGCCGTTGGGGCTCGAGCCCCGCACCAGCTATGCGAAGGCGTGACCTTTCGCTGAAGTAGGGTTAGGTGAGGGCACACTGGGGCTGGAGTAACATGTGGCACCTGCTCTAGAACAGGAGCATACCGCAGACGGATCTACCCCTTCTCCGACCTTGTACTGCGCCGAGCGCAACGGCCGCGTTGTCCATAGACGCATCCACCCCGAATGTGTCTATTGACGTCACGGCCCCCAGTGTGCTCATAGACGCTTTTGGCGAGAACGTGAGCATCGTCCTTGGCATCGGCCCCAGATACGTATTGATTTCCCAGAAGCGGCTAGACTTGGCCCTCCAACTCAAGGGAGGCAAAACCACCCAGACTGTACAATTGGCGCTTACTAAACGGCCCTGGGCGTTTACTGAACAACCCTGTCCTGCTTGATTCCTTCTTTGGGTGCTTTTACCAAACGGCCTCGCGTGTCGGAAGGATGGGGCAATTTTCCCAGGCTGCCTTTGCATCCTTGCCCCTTCGGTATTCGGCATCCTTCGGCATTCTGCTGCCCTCCGCACGGGAAACGTCAACATGCCGTTCTAAGGCCCTCGCATCCTTGCCGCGCATCCTTACTATCTTGGTTGACTGTATGGGGGTGGGTTTTTGACCTCTACCGACGCTGGGGTCCACAGACGGCTGAATGCGATGCGACGGCAGCGGCTTGCGCGCTCTGGCTCGGCCTCCCCCCGCGGTCCCCCCGAGAGCCGCGCTCAAGGAGGCCGCTCTCGCCCAATGTCGCTCCTGCGTGTAGCCGACCACGGGAGGCGGTGGCGCCGGCGGCGGCACACGTGACGGACGAAGGAGGTGATGGGCTCGTTTTCCATCACCACCACCCTAAGTAGGAGAGGGAGTGGGTCCTCCTCCTCCTCCTTCTCCTCTTCCTCCTCCACCTCCACCTCCTCCACCTCCTTCCCCCCTCCAACTTCAGTTGGTGGTGGTGGTGGAAAACAGGCCCATCAGGAGAGACGGATGCGGCCACTCTACGCAGCCACGCGCAGAGGGGGGTAGGGGGAGGGGGGAAGGCTTCTTAGAAGCACCCATGCTTCTCAGGAGGCTCGGGCCCTACGCCCCTCTGCGCGCCGCCGATCTACTGCACGGACCCTTCCGCGGGTGCGTTCTGACCATGATTTCGCGGCGAATCCAGCGGTGGCGAGGAGGGGCGGGCAGCTGTGTCGGTATCCGAGGCGGGAATTTATACATGACCACCACC